CCTGCGCTCTGTTGCCCTCAGTCTTTCAGTGGGTGTGTGTGAGGGAGCTGCTGTGGCTTGCACCTGACAGCCTGAGCCCTCAGGAATGAGCAGGATGAAAAGAGAAGGAAGAGCCTCCAGACTGGGTGGGGCGTCCTCCATGCTGCCAGGAACCTGTTCGAGAGTCCCACTCATGCCATCTGGGTATGGAGAAATGCCACTGCTTAGTGAGAGGCTGACCCAGTCCCCAACTATCTCCCGCCTTTCTCTGCCATGAAAGTCTTTGGTCACTGCCATGAATTCCAATGGAAGAAAAGAGCCCAGCCATGGAGGTGAATTCTCATTGCACTGCTCTCACCCATACTGAGGCGTAGGTGTGTGCGCATGCATGTATGCATACCTCTGTGTTTTTAATTCAAGGGTTTAAAATATTTTAATACAAAAAGAAACAAGTCCATGTTTGGTCCTAGCCCACCCATTCCTCCCCATCATTTCTTTTCCCAACCTTGCTTAGTAACCTGGCACATATATGTACAAACACAACTATTTCTACACACTACAAGTCATTCAGGCCTACAAGAACAGACAGGAGAAACAAGAACAGGTCAGAAAGAAGGAATGGGGGGGGAGAGGGAGAGGAACAGAGAAAGGGACATCAGTCTACCCAGTTTGCACAGTCTGATACCTATTGAAGCCAATCACTAAGCAACCCAAGGAAAGCAGCCCATATATTTAATTTTTATTATTTTTGCCCCTCTCCCGCCTGTTATATACTGTTTATTTGTTTCCCTTTTGTGGCCAAGTCAGTACAGGGCTGGCCCTAATAATTAGGCAGAGTGCTGGTCAGTGGGGAGCCAGTTGTAGCACGCCTCCCTAGGTGTTACTCTTGAGCCCTGTAGCCTTTGCCCATTCTTGGAGGATGGTATTGTGTGTACCACCACACAGCTTATCCTTGCCCATTAAACCGGCCTGCTGCCCTCAGGTGTCAGGGAGCATTCTATCTCATTGCCTGTGCTGACAGAGAAGTGGGGAAAGTTAATCTTGTTGGATTACAACTCCCCCAGTTCTCCAGCCAGCATAGCCAACGCATCAGAAAAGTAACTTTTCCCATCTCTAGTGCTGAGGTAAGACTGAGTTGCTTCTGAATTTATACATGGTGGGGACACAGTCTTGTTCTTTGCCTCAGGCAGCAATAATTTGGACTCTCCTGAGGTTGGATGCTGTTCAGATCCTGTCCCAGTGAAAGAGGCAAGTACAGGTTGGAAGCCTTAGCCCCACAGAAGCCCACTGACATCAGATAATCTTTAAGTAAAAAAGACTTGCAGTCATTGACAATGACTAGAAATTCCCTTCGTTTAATTTCCAAAGTCCATGGAAAAATGGGCTGTATGTAAAAGTACACTAGGGGCCTCTTTGACACAAATTGACACAATCCACAGGGTCTCTTGGAGAGAGCTCAGTTTCCTGTGTGTCTCCAATTTAGCAAACAGCTAAGTACACAAAAATGAGACGTGCTCTGCTGGATCAGGCCAAGGGTCTATCTAGCCCAGCCTTCTGTTTCCAACAGTGGCCAGACAGATGCTTTCAGGAAGCCTACAATGAGGATATCATAGCAAAAAGCCCGACACCACCCCTGCCCCCATGGTATGCCCTCCGCAACAGGGATTCAGAGGTACACTGTCATCATGACGAATGTAAACAAAACTGGAAGAAGTCAAAGCAGGACTCTGTATATCTTGGTGGGTCGCACAAGCAAACTGTAGGGACAAGCAAAACAGAAGGTTTCAACAGTCTCTGTAGGGCTGAGAATGTGTTTAGTGAAATGTGAAACATTACATCACTCGAGCAAGCAAATCATGCCACATAGAATGTTCTAGAAGTCGTATATGGCCTTTCAGGCTTTTGGACTTCCACGCCCAGAAACCCCACTCAGTAGAGCCAATACTAGAAGATGTGGGAGCTGTAGTCCAAAACCTTAGCCTGCAAATCATCCTGCGTAGACAGTAAATACCTGCTGCCCTGTTTGCTTTAAAGAATAAGCAGTGGCAAATGAAGGCCCTTTGTATATTTCTTCCTCAACACAAATATACACAGAAGTAGGGATACTCTGTCTGTCATGTTGGAACAGAGTCATTGTTATCCTTGTTTAGAGATGAAATTTTTCATCTTCTCACAACGAAGGGCATAGTGACTGCTCTCTGGACAGCTAGTGAAGAAGTCTTTGAGGCAGTTTTCAAACGGGGTTAATGAGGAATCATATGATAAACTTATTTCCCACAGGGGGGTAGACTGTACTAGAGTAGGGGACTCACTTTTGATGGGAATCCTACTCAGTGGCAGATTCAAAGAACCAGCGACCCTTCAAATATTTTGAACTCACTTTCTTATCAGTCCTAACCAATCCGGCTAACGATAAGGTATCTCCCTACCCCTTCTCTGTGGGGAGATACTATGCAATCGTATTTAGATCTACTCAGAAATAAGTGTTATGGTGCTGGGTGGGACTTTTTCCTATGTAACTGTGTATAGACTGCAGCCTAGCAGAATGATTAACATCTCTCTGAAAGTGAAATATAAGGCTTAAGGCTGGTTTAATTTAACCTATGCTCTTGCATACAGCCTGATCATCTACAAAGCAATAAAATTGTATTTGAAATATAATGCACTGAAAGTGTGATAAACTCTGTTGGGCCCATACCTGTCAAATCGGAATCCTTCACAGATTTTTGTTCCAGAGGTGGACCGAAACAGTAATCAGTTTAATCAGAAGTACACCACCTCTTTCCAACAGTCAGGAACTTTTAAGATGACTTTGTGCTAATATACACTTAATTACTGATCATATATTGCAGTTGCTGTCCTTATAAACATTTGCATAATACTGGCAATGCAAAACTGTAGTTCTTTTTTGTGGTTTCAAGTAGCATCTGATAACTAAGCTCAAGCTTTGAACTCTGTTCAAATAACCACTGAGACAGACAGAGGTGGGGAAATTCCTAGTCTGCATGGTCAAGATTATGATGGTGGGGTGGGGGCAGATTGTTAAGTGTCTGCTACTAAGCAGGTAGACAATCTGGATGTATGAGAAGGGAAAACACTGTAATCTAAGGGAATTAACTCTAGAGATCCTGATTGGGGTAAGGATGGTGGCCACCTAAAGTCATGTCAGAGGTGAAAGCCTAGAGGAAATGACTCAACTTGCCTTCTGCCTCTGGCATATGATAGTAACAAGAATACAACAAGGCAGTCACTGAATGCTGGAATTCCTGGGTATATCCATGGGATTTCACTCTTTCAGCCCCTCTTTCTTGCATACATGCATAGACAATATTCATGGTTATTTACAACGTTTACAAAGACGGGGTGAAGGAGGAGAGAGACCCCGCCCAAAGAGAGGATGACCTGAAACAGATAATGGGGAAACTAACAGAAGATCGAAAGAGGGACGCAAAACTAGCAGAAGCTGAATGTGGTCAAATGCAGAAACACAATATTATACTTACATTGTTGGGAATGAAGTTGTGAGGTGATGAGACCAGGGCAGGTTCTACCATCTGGCAGAATGAGGCAGCTTCCTCAAGCTGGTGGATGCTGGGGTCAATCCTTGAAGCCCCTGGCTGTTCCTTGGGAGCCTCCCAGTGATGAGGAGTACTGTCCAATCACCTACCCCATTTACACCAGTATATATAGATTGAAGGTACTATCTTGTCCTTTACCTCAGGCTACAGAATGGAGGCTTGGAGGAAGGAAGAATTTGGGCTGGATATGGAATAGAGTGAGGAAGCCAGGTGAAGGAGAAATGCCATCTGAACAAGAGAATTTTGGAACTTTAAAGTGCACTTTCCCCATCTCTGGGCCATCTACAAATTCATATAATCATCTTTACTCACCATGGGACACTGTCCATCTGCTCCCATAGTGGGTCATTGTGTGAGTGGAAGGAAAGTACAGGATTCTGCCCTGTGAGTTTTCAGCATTTCGTGTAAATCAGTCTTCCTAAATTATAAATTTGAGGATTTAAAAACACTGGCATATGTAGGTACAGTAATAAATTAAGAATCTATTCTGAGTACCAAGTTGCCCTTCAGAACAGTGACTGAGTCCCTCTGAGCATGTGCAGAGTACATTTCTTTTATGTAACTGCAGTTGGCCCTCTCCCATACCTGGGACTGGGGGCAAAGGTTTTTATGTCATAGTACTTACCCTAACAAGGTGAAGCATCTGTTTTCTTCAAACTTGACAAGCACGCTAAAGGGAGATGGTACTACAGGAAGAAAATTGATACTCTGCTAGCCAGATAGTTTCAAAACCATGCTTAAAAATTACAAATAAAGTCTTTAAGAGTACAAGTACTTATAAAGAATATCCTGTGGTGTTAAAGTTGTCACTTTTATTTTTTATTTTTTTCTTGGCTGGCTCCTGTGCTGTTTGTGGCAATACAGTGAAGCAGAAATTAAAGTTAGCAAGTGGGTTTTTAGTTAGTGCTTTGGTGACAGGAAAGCATTACTTGTTCAATAGTTGTCTGCCATGCTAATGTTAAAAAGCACGGGAACTCTGCCAAGGGTGGAAACTGGGGGGTGGGGGTGGGAGGACGAGGACGAGTTTTATGGAGATCTAAGCGCTCCGCGACAGATTTTTTTCGCGACCTGGATCAGAGCGCTACTGTAAACGCAGGCCATTTCCCCGCCGGAGGTGAGCCTTGAGTACCGTAGAGAGCGTATCATCCTGATTGCGGGCTGCCCACGGGGGTCCCGACCCCTTTCCGCCGGCCGTTTGCCGCACCGGCCCCCTTCTCTCCATCTGCGGCACCTTTTGGCTCCTAATATGGGTTCTTAATTAAATTACAACAGACCCAAGGAGTTCAGGTTACACAGGGAGCCCACCCTCTCCGCTCATTGGCTGTGGCCCCGACGGAGGGGGGCGCGATCTCGCGAGCTCATTGGCTCATCCGCCCGCGAGGGGAGGGGCTGGGGCCGAACCAAACGATGCGCCCCTTCGGCTCGCTGGGGATTGAAGCGGGGAGAAAATCGGCGCCGTCGAGCCCAGCCGAGGAGAAACTTTCCGAGCGTCTCCGTGCTCGTGTCAGAGCCCTCGGAGGGAGGAAGGCAGGGAGGGTCGTGCTCTTTCTCTCTCTCGCTCGCTCGCTCCCTCTCCTGCTGCCTTTCCTGTGCGCTGCCCCTTCAAGCTGCCAGCTGAGCCCTCCAGCCCTGGCATGCACAGCGCCCGCCTCGACGCCTTCGTGAGCCACCTTCGCGCAGAAGTGGTAAGTCTGGCAGAAGTGAGAGGGAGGGGGGCGGCAGATCGAGGAAAAGCTGACTTTCGTGGGGATGAGGATGCTGGGTGGGGAGTCTGCTCTCGGGTCTGCCTTTCGGGCTCCAAGGTGGCGCGGGCGCTGAGGATCCCGCGGGGACCCATACACAGGACGGGACTTGGTCTCGGCACCGCCGGGATCTGGGATGATCAAGGGAGGGCGGTGCGTGGGAAAGGAGGAGACGCGCCGTGCGGGTGTTCCTCCGGAGTAGGCGAGGAGTCCCGGGGCTACCCGGAGAAAAAGTCAGGCGGAGCGATGCCTCTGATAGTTCTTATTATACTGTGCAGTATTACGCCTCCTGTGTCTGTGTGACTGCTGTTGTGTGGGAAAGGCGCTCTTTCCAGAAGCCTGCGCCAAGCTTACGGAGGCATCAGCAAGACCAGGCTTGCGGCTTCTGTCCGCCTGCGATGAGGGAAGTGTCCCCGCGCGTCCTCGGTCGGTGCGTCCCGCCTTGGCTGGCTGGCTGAGGAGCTGACAGCCGCACTTTCCCTCTTTCTGGAGGAGCCGGGCATTGCAGGCTGTTCCGCCCCACACCGCGGCTAATGAGGTGGGTCGCTCTATCCTGGCGCCGATGGCCTGCGCAAGGCTGTCCCTTGAGCTGTCCTTCCTCTCCCCCCCCCCGCCCGGCACGTCCCTGGTCCGAAAGAACTGCCCCGGCTGAGGAAGAGGCCAGGCGGAGTCTCGAAGGCGGAGACCCTCGGTGCGCTCCCCGCGGAGCAAGTCCCGTCCGTCCAACGCAGGGCTCAGAACGGGCTTGCTCTGAGGCAACCTGCGCAGGATCGGCAAACAGTCTACGCTTCCTGGAGAGCCCGCGCAGCTGCAATCCGTGGCATTTAGTTTTCAGTAAGGATGGCTCGGAGCTGGAATTAAGCGATCCAGATCGAAACTGCTCAGAAATCCCTTTTCATGATCATTATTACGCCCCAGAGGTGAAATAGGGGGTGTCTCATTCTCTAGTGGCAAAGAAATGAATGTTGGACAATGCTCGGACGCTGCTTCTCCTCCGTTCCCAGGCTGAGCCTTGCCATTCAAAATAGATTTTGGGCTTGAGGAGATCTCAAGTGATCTCTGGCTCAGTCTTTGGAGCACATCCAGCAAGATGAAGTGTCTGTGCTGAAGGAGCAGGCAGGAAAGGGCATCAACGGAGCAGGAGCTCCACCCTCTGAGCCTGAAGAAGCTTGGAAACAATGGAAACATGGACTCAGAAGCTTCAGATGATTTGCTCAGGGCTCCCTTTGCCCAGAAGCTTACCCCTCAGCTGCAGCTAGAGAATATTAAAGCTCCTGGAAAATTGAGCTCCAAATCAATTATAGTACAGGAGAATAAAAGAGAAACAAGATTTCCTCCTGGTCCCATTTCCACTCAATTGGCAGTGTCTTTTAGGAAATCCACAAGCTGCCTCCTATTCCCTTTGACAGGGTGTCTTCCGAAAGCCAAATCCCTCTCCCTCCACCCACAATGGATGGCTAGATCATAGCTGGCTTCCAGTTTGCTATGTTGCCAAATTCCACATATACCTGAGGAGTTCCTCTGCGGACAGTGGAAGGTTTGCTTACACGTCTCTCATCTCAGCGGCTTGGGCTGGTTTCAGCAGTGGCTTTTAGTCTGAGCTGAAGCAAAGTCAGGACTTCCCCCTTTGTTAGGTATCTTAAGACTCAGGTGTTAGGGCAGAATTTTCAGCTGCTCTCTCTCTCTCTCTCCCCAGTTGGATACAATGGACGTCTTGTGGAAATGTGTCCATATCATACACAGGACTTCTAGTTAGTGGTTTTATGAATACTGCAAACTGTGAACATGGCCTTGCTCTGGAAAGGGCAGTGCCACTGCAGAGATTATGGATGTTTTGTCTGTATTGGAAAGGAGATGAATAAGAGTTATCTGAAAAAGCCCTGTGAAGAGAGATCTGTTTTTTGTAGGATCTCGAAGACGTTCTAGTGAGCTGAGTCTACCAGACTCCCTTTGCCATTTGCTAAGGACCCGCTGTTCGATCGTATCCTATACTGGTGGGCTCACCCTGGCAGCAGCAAAATACATTTATGAGTTGCCACTTTATATTTTGAACAAGGCCTCTACTGCTTTGTTTGGGGCAGTGTGGGAGAATTAAAAACAGTGGTTCAGAGACCCAGTCACTGCAGTTAAACTGCCTATGGTACACACCAGGACCAGGGGGTGTTCCTAAGGCCCTGCCAGCTTCACGTGATGTTGATGCCAGACCTGTGTTTTACTCTGAACATGCATCTAGCATGGGGTGAAAAGGCAGGATCTAGATATGATTAGTGAAAATACGTTTTACAGTACATTTTCCTCCACTTTCTCTTCAGCTTTATCCTCCTAGGAAATGTGGGGCCTGACTTATTGCATGCCCATAGTAAAGATTTCTCACAACAGAAAGTGAAGTATTGCTAAACTGGCCTTTATCCTTTGCAGTATGTACTTGATGAGGGAGGGGAAACGGCAGAAGAAAGCACCATGTTGTATTTGGATGGGACTCCCAGTTTCCAAAATGACAGGCTCCTAAGAATGGCATCATACAGAGTGTCTGTTTGGACCTTCCAAGTGGCCATGGAAAGACAAAGGAACAAGTTATTTAGCACAGGAAAGTAAGTGATGGGAAGGTCTCCTACAGGAAATGACGCAATGGTGGAAGGAGCCATTGGGATATTGAACAACTTCTTTTTTGTGTGTGTGAGAACCAGAAGGCTAACAGATGTTGTGAAGGATGAATGCTTCCAGAAAGCCCAGTGCAACAGCCTCTGTTTCATGTTTCTATGTGATGCAAAATTACATGGCTGTTGACTGTCACCAGGAATGGAGCTCCTGTAAGGGGCCTTCTAGCTCCCCGCTAAAACCGTACTGTGAGGTACGCGGCCACATTCTTTTCTTTTGCGCATAGGGCTACTATGCATGCGTGATAACACCTCCCCGCCACCCCATGTTCTGTTCTCTGGAAGTCTGTAGGCTGTGAATGCTTTCCCAGCAAGCATTAATAAAAGACTATCTGTGTGGTGTGACACAGGGCGGTTGTACGTGCGCTGAAGCTTTTTTCCTGTGTGCTTACAGTGGCGTAGCATTTTCTGAAATGCTTTCTTGTTCTGTAGAATGGCCGTCGTATTCTAGTCTGCTAACGAGTGCAGGGGGACACCACTGGCTGGTTTCTTGCTCACTTCTGGACACAATCCAAGGTGCTGTTTTAACTTTTCCAGACTTTAATTGCTTGAGACTTACATACATTAACAGCTGCCCCTTTCTATTTACCAGTTAAGATCAAGGTAGCAGGCACTGCTTGCGGCATCATTGTTGTGGCAGCAGACCATAATGACTGTGGCCACCAGGTGCAGTGGTGACTGAGCATCACCTTTGTGCAACTCTCTGCTTGAAGAAATATCCTTTCTGAGACTTTAGAGAAAGGGAACTTAATCCTTTCAGTTGTCTAGATGATTTGATACATTTTTCAACTACTGTATTTTTTTTTTCTTGGAGCACAGTTTCAGCTTTTACTACAATCCCACTGTATCATCCTGCTGTTGTTAAGAAGTCTGTATGCAAGGGAAAATGTTCTGTATATTAAAAAAGAAAGTCACTGTGGAGACTGAAAGTGACTTATACTGAGTTTTGAAACTTTATACCTTCTGGAGCTGCTGAGAAGTAGTTTTACAGGTTTCTGTTTTTCAGGTTAATTTTGAGACAGTTATGAATAACTGGTAGTTTGGTAATGCTCCAGTGATAACACCACATCTGGTGGAGCTGATGCTCCTCCACTGGGATAATTTAAATTAAGGCTGGATAATTTAACTGGTATCACTTCAGTTGCTGGACCACAACCTCCATTACCCTTGACCCCTGGCAAGGGCTGCTGGGAATTGCTGTGCAGCAGTAGTTGTTGCCTTCCTTACACTGAATCAGACTATGAGCTTATTTAGCCCAATAAGGACAACTCTGACTGGCAGCAATTCTCCAGGGTTTCAGGCACGATTATTTTAGCCCATCCCTTGACTCTCAACTTAGCACGAACCAGAATCCACCCCTGCTTGGCTTTCAAAATCAGACAAAACCATGTGAGTTCAGGATTGTATGGTAGCCACAACATCTGGAGGGCCATACTTTTTCCAACCCTCCATAAAATCTAAGATTTATTTATTTATTTATTTATTTATTTATTTATTTATTTATTATTTATTTATTTATTCATTTATTCATTCATTCATTCATTCATTCATTCATTCATTCATTCATTCATTCATTCATTTATTTATTTATTTATTTGAGTCTCCAGGCAGCTGGGTCCCTTTTATGGGAAGTTGATGTCTTCACTTGACAGTACATATGAAGCTTCACGGTTTCTTAGTCTTAACTGCTCAAGAGGCTGCCTTGTTTATCCTTTCTTTCCTTTCCTTTCCCCCAAATATATGTGGCCTCTGCAATTGGACATTTACTGTGAATTTCAGCCTTGCAAGGGCATCTGGCATCCAGCTGCTTTGTGTGTACCTCCTTCCTGCTGTCATCACCCCTGTTCCATCCATCAGACTCAGTCTGACATTTCTGTCAGGTCCTTAAGAGGCAGACATGAAGGTGGTTGATGGGGAAGTGAGACACATAACCTTCACTCAGCTCCTGGTTAAAGAAGTTGTGGCAGTGGCTGCAGGACAAAAACGAGGTTTGTGGAAAGAGAGAGGCTGTCATAAGCACAGGCTGAGTAGGCCACAGACTGGATTCAAACCCTGGGTATCCTAGTGTCCTGCGGACTAGCATAAAAATCTCCCACTGCACACCCTGGAGTTTTGAGAGACATCTGGCTTTTTATCTAGCTTTTTAAAAATCATAATCTTTTATACTGAAATACTGCAATCAAGCCTCTGCTCACAATCTGAGTTTGATTCTGATGGGTTCAAATAGCTAGTTCAAGGTTGACTCGGCCTTCTGTCCTTCCAGAGTCAGCAAAATGTGTACCTAGATTGTTGGGGTGTGTGTGCAAAGTGTTCCTTGTGTAAATTGTGTTGTAAACCGTCCAGAGAGTGCTCCAAGCACTATGGGGCTGTATATAAGTCGAAACAACAAAGAAACAAATGGTTGTCTTATATTAGGCCAGTAAAATTGCTTCTGTTCACACAATTGTTGTCTCCTGACTCTGAAGCAGCAAGGTTTTCTAACCTTTGCAGTCTCTCTCTCTCTCTCTCTCTGTGTGTGTGTGTGTGTGTGAGAGAGAGAGAGAGAGAGAGAGAGAGAGAGAGAGAGAGAGAGAGAGAGAGAGAGAGAGAGAGAGAGAGAGAGAGAGAGAGAGAGAGAGAGAGAGAGAGAGATTTGTGTTTGTGTGTGTGTGTGTCCTCTCTTAAAATTTCCACAATGGCTGACTCACCATCACAGTGTAGATGGAGTTTGTTTGATGCAGAGATTAGAAATGGAGCTTAGTTTTTTTCCTTGACAGGAAGTGCCATGTATTGGGTGGGGGGGGAGGAAGGAAGTGGTGATCTGGAGGCCTTTAAAAAAAAATTTTAATGGCTATGGGGGTGGGGTGGGGGGCCTGCCTTGGAACTGTGACCACAGCAGACATTGGATGGGCTTCACGTTCTCAGCCAGCTAGAGAGTCCCGGGAGACTCTTGCTTGTGCTACTGTGTCACCAGACCAGCTGTAAATAAATCCTTGCTTGTCACAATCTCTTGAGAAAGCAACAGGAAGTAGGCCGGGAGGAAGAGAATGGAAGAGCCTGTAGCCTCTGTGTTCAGAGTCGGACCCGGAGGTTAGTTTGTAGGCTTGTGACAAAACTCTTGCTCTTGATGGACCAAGAGTCCTTTCTAAAATGATTTTTCCCTTCTACTCCCTTTATTCACGACAGGCCTCGTCTTACACAACCTTCCCCTTTGTCCTGCCCAAGGCCGCCTCTGCACTGACCCGTGTTTTCCTGAACATCTGGAAAGGATATGTCCTTTCTCAGGAGACTTGAATTTTTGTTTGAAGCTTCCTAGCTTCTTCCTTATAAGAAAGGATAGTTTACATCACCCCGGCTTGCATACATGGCCTTACCTTTCTTTGCTCCTGTGCACCAGGGAGAGGAGACTCTTCCAGAGGGATTTGGGTGAAAGGGGTGCAGGATCCCCAAGCACGTTTAGTCCTTAGGTGAACTTCCCTCTTGTTTATACTACTCCAGATCAACTCTGCACCCCTGTGCCCAGCTGAGAAACCCCACCCCCTCGCCCGTGCATGACCATGGTCTTATCTACAGGTTTTGTCTTTCCTGCCTTGCTGACTGGAGACAGGGCTTGTGTAATTCCTGGAGCCGGTTACACACCCTCTGTGTCATCTTCTGCCGGGTGGAGTGGCTCATTCCCTGTAACAAGCTACGGCTTGCTGGGCCAGGGATGGGCTTGGAACGTGTGATGCTGCTGAAAAGCTCTGCCTCCAGGGCCTGGTTAGGGAGGGTGGGCTTGCAGAGACGAGACAGGGCAAGGGCCCGCGCGTGCGGGACTGGCTCCCGGTGCCATACGCTGGCTAAGTCAGTTCCGCCGTGCCCTTTGCCAGTCCAGGAGTATCTCAACTGAAAACCACAGACAGCTGCCTGGGCCACAGCAGCAGCAGGCTTTGGACAGCTTTAGAACAACCAGGCAGGGTAAGCGCTGCACAAGGGGGAAATTATCGGGCTTACAGATGGGGTGCGTTAATAGGGTGGGGAGCCGAAGAAAGCGGGTGAGTGCCGATAACAGAACGCTTTCTTTCCAGCAAATGATTTTGACAAAGGGGGCTGGGTCACATGGGGTCATCTCTGTGGAGTCAGTGATCCTCTTGTGGGCTGCCTTTTTGCATTGTCTGGACTCGTGATTGGCGCATGGCTTTCTCTGGATGTGTGTAGCATTTAAGATGGCAGGATTAATTCTGGAGATCTGGGCCAAAAGATCATTTTAAAGAATCCATCTTGGTTGTGATTTTGTGTTTTGGATGCTGGTTCCTCCAAGGTAGCTCAGGCTAGCATCAAAGTCATCCATGTACTGTATTCTTGATGGCTGCTTCCAGCTTGTGGAACA